TTATTTGCTTTTTTTGCTTATGTTATTTCAGAAATCTCAAATTTAAATGTAGCTTTACAGATAAAAATATTTCCATCATACACTCCAGACTACAGTATGGCAAATGCTTCATTCTGTGCATTTTTTTAGTTTTTGTAGTTCAACCTGATATTTTGGAAACGTCCAAAATGTGTCAATTCCCCTAACTGAAAACTTTGTACAGCCTTGTGTGCATGCAGTTATCTTTGAGCTGAAAGTCATTATACTGTAAGTTGAACCCTTTTCTGCACAGACACACAGATGGTTTCAGTTATTCTGGTTGATTACGCTGTGTTCACATCAAATGGGACGGATAGAAGACATGGGTGTAATTTTCATAAACAATGGCCTTTTGCTGATATGAGGCAGCCAGCATTAGTCAGATTTTTTTCTAGCTTTTCCATATTATCAGTGCCAAGTTGGAAATATTGGCACTTCTAACTTTTCCCAGTCGTAATTACAACTTGATTGCTGACTTGAACACGATTAATAAATTAGAAACTAGTAATTACAGTAACTCTAACATTACATGCCATTAGCCCCCTCAGGAAGATGTCAGTTAAGTTCAGTCAGCGCACACACACACACAGTTCTGAGAAGAGGTCTAATCAGGCAAAAACACCAGTGCAGTTGGAGCTTTTGTGATACAGCATGACGAAATGGCTTTTTTAAAAACTTTGTGTTATCACATTTTCCACTGTCTGAGTTGGTTCACAATGTTCAACGTATTATTTTCTATTTGCTCTTGATTAGAAATGAGTCACAGAATCGACTGAAATTAAATATGATCCCTGTAAGTTTGGGTCTGGCTGGTTCCTCCTGAGTAATGAGACCTCTATAAGGGCCTGAGCCAGTATCCTGAATGAAATCTTTGTCCCTCTTAGACTAACATTTTGGGGGTTTTTTGTCGAGTAAAACAGTGTTTCATGTCCATTTGATTTGATCACATATTCCAAAGGAAACTGGCTATCATTAGAGAGGATCGGAGGGAACAGGGAAGTAGAGAAGGAAGAACAAGAATGAGCAAAGGATAAGCAGATAGCAAGCGTGTGTTTGTGCATCGCTGTACTCCTACAGACTCACGGTCAATGGTGAGTCATCTGTCTGGAGAATATGTCACTTTGTGTTTTCCCGCTGACCTTTTAGCAGCACATTTTCTGATGCAAGCGCTTGAGTGTCAAATCCTACACCCTCTTCACCGTCTTGTTTATTTTTTTCCTCATTATTTTGATGATACATACTGTTTTGGTTTTTTTTCAAGTCTCGCATCCTTCACACTGCATCAGTGTCATTGCCTCCTGTCATCAAATTCGGCTCTACTCAATTGAAATAAGTTTTGAATTGAATCATCAGATGCTCATGACAGGCGTGTGTGTGTGTGTGTGTGTGTGTGTGTGTGTACTGGAGTGAGCCCCCCATTGATTCCAGCTAAATGACTCACTCTGTCTTCCTCACAGTCCCGGTTTTCAGCGAGTCACCCACACTCATCCTGAGGCACGAGCTGTCCCCAGCTGCAGCAGTGGCACCCTAACTGGAGTCCTGGGACCTTTTGTGGAGTCCATGTTTGGACTTTCTAGAGGCCCACTCTCCACACTTCAGATCATTTCATTCCACTAATATGTTGCTTTCCAAAAACAGTTCTTATCTACTCTGACCTTTAAAACATTCTTAACGGAAACAGCAATTATGTCTTACATTAGATAAATCAGAATATTTACCTCAGATTGGGGTCTCTAGGATAAACTCTTCTTCCACATCTCTCTGTGGCATCCTTATGGTGTGACAAAGCGAAGGAAATGCTGACCTAGGGGTATTTAACAGGATTATCCTGTTAGTGGATATGTGTGAAGGAGGATTAGCTGTTATGTTGCCTGACTTCTTAATGATTCTTAAATTAAACTGTGTAAAAAAGATGTCTCACTATGAGCCATTTGGCTCAGTGGGTTACCGTAGTTCTTCTAACAGCTCTCAAGGTGAGCATGACTCCTAATTCACTAATTTAAATCATACTAAAGACAATAAATCTGTTATCAGTTCCTGTGTTCTCCCCTGTGGTTCTCTGTGTTCACCTTAAAGGACCAGTGTGTAAGATTTAATAGCACCTAGTGGTGAACAAACTGAAATGACAGTGGTCACGAACAACTCAAACTTTGGTTTTTCCGTTCTGGAGTACTACAAACATAATGGTTCAACATGGAGTAACAGCATTTTCCTTGTTAGCATCCAAAACCTTCTCCTGGTGGTCCAAAGCTCCTGTACTAGCAGTGTCCCAAGCTCCGAGTCCTGGCTAATGGCTAACTGATCTAACTAGAAGAAGAAAAAAAATCATGAAACTTTGTAAATCACCTTAAGTTGAGGCGGAGCCATAGCTGCCAGATGTAGGGGTGCTGGGTGATGTGCTGTTGAAGCCTACCGTGCATAAAATAAAGTAAGAGACATCATGTGTCCATCAGTTTCTTAATTTTTCACCGAATGAGTAGATGTAAATTTATGAA